CTCGGCTCCGGCTCGTTGTGAGGGGGCACTACGCTGTGGCTCGGCGTGCCTGGCTCTGCCCTCCCAGCCACGCACACACACAAGAAGGGCGGGAGGCGGGGGAGGGGCGGAGAGGCTGAGGTACGAGCGCCTATACGCAGACACACACGGATATGCAGAGAGAGATGGAGAGGCGCACAGATCCACGGGGACAAGACACTTGCACGCTCGAGCACAGGTAGCCGCAGCTATAGACAGACACATGCACCCCCACACACCTGCCAACGTGCGTCAACACTGCTACTCTCCCTCACCCCAGCCCCCACCCCGACAGGCTCTAGTTAACCTTGAGCAAGTTGCTCTCTGCCTGCAGCTCACAGGCCTCCATTTGCAACTGCTATAGCCACGCTCGGAGCTTGTCAGTTGTGTCTGACCGTGCACAGATGGAAACAACTTATCTCTCAGTGAACAATGCAGCTGGAGAAAGATACAGATAAATACTATTTCCTTCTTCTCATTAGGGTGGGTAGAGTTTGCCTCTGCTCCTTTATACCAAACAGGTGAGTTAACCCATTTTTTTTGTTTACCAACACACAGTCAGAACCCAATATTCCTGGAATGCATCACTGCATTTCACAGGCAATCAGAGTTCCAGTCTTTCTGCTTCGGGAAACCTGTAGATTTCTTCATCTGTATCAAACTCGGCATCTGAAAAAAATATATGAACTCATGGCAGTACACTTTCTCTTTCTGCAAATGGAGCTAATGAGGGATGCTGATTTCCTCCTCAGGGAAAATTTTATTTTTTTCCTCAGAAAATCCAGTGTCAGTGCTAAATATTATTAACCTCTCCTCCTGGTCCCTATCTAACTAAGTTGGCAATGTTCAGTTACTTCAGGTTTAGGGCATTTGGAATGGCTCATTAGGGCTGCCTTCTTTGGCTCTGTCCTCAGGAAAGAATTGAATGTAATTCAAATGATGTTTACTCCTTTTCTCCTTCCCTGGCCATTAGCATTGAAGATAGATCCTGTACAAAGAAAGATATGTTTTATTTATGTGAAGATGGCTGTTGCTCAGGGAAGCATAATTTTCTTTTCTGCTATACCTAAATAGGAAATGGCAACCACATGAAAAAGACCTTTATGGATAATATATCTTTTCACTAAAAAAAAAAAAAAGTTGTCTTCGTAATACTTCATAAGATGCTTTTTGCCAAGATTCCTTTTTCGATTATTACGATGAATTATTCATTCACAGGATTATTTGAATCATTGTTATAATTTATTCATTCACATGGTTAACTATTGAGAAATTCCTTTAAAAACAGCTTTTGGGAGGGATGGAAAAACTCATGGCGTTTGTAAGAGAATAAAGGGAATGTCTACATTGTAACCACTGCTGTGATTCAGCTCATCCTGCACTACCTTTGAATAAGCAAGCTCTAAGGGCTGCTAACAGCACAGCAGAGGCACTAGAGAGCTCCACAAGGGTTTACAAGACAACTTTCCAGCACATGCAGGAGCTCCACACTATCATGGCTCTGATGTTCACAGGACTTGAGCTGGCAGTGCTAAAGCTAGCTCAGATGCATCACATGAGCTGCAGCCCCATCCAGTCATTCCTGCCCACTCTACTCAATTGCCATCACAGACCACCTCACTGTAGGCACCCAGGCTGCTATACACTGTGGTTGCTCCTGAAAGACCTTTGGAAGTTTCTGTATTTCCATCTGTGTACTTACCCTGCACCTCAGACATGGTATCAGTTTCACAAGCCTTTGCAGCATGTAACTAAAAATTTTTCACTCACAGCCTGCTCCAAAATCAATCTGCACCATACACCCCATGCAGCCACACCCCGCGCTTCTATATTAAGAGGCTATGTCAGCTGTCACCATTCAGCCTCTGTGCTGATCTGGCTGGACCAGAATCTCATAATGGTAAGTAACTTACAAAGCAGGAGAAGAAACGTGAGAAGGATCCAGAGATGCCAGGGAGGGGCAAGGCATGATTCACAAAGCAGTATACCAGAAAGCAATGCCACGATATCACAATACCCTCTGCAGAATGACTGCTACATCTGAGACCAAAACCCCATAACCAGTCCCAGGTAGAGGTGCTGCTAAGCTTTGCTCTAAAGTAATGTTTTGTTTACACCTCCAGTACTCGTATGCATGTGTTTCTATGTGCACATCCAGCATTAGTATGTGTTACGCTTTAGGTAACCCAGTCACCCTCTAAATTCCCTTTTGATCTCTTTTGCTCAGCACTGCAGCTGCCACAGAATTATGTACATGCATCATTTTCTCAGAAAATCTAAGCCCAGAGCATCTCAAGATAATTATGCCAAAACTGAGATACTGCAAAGCAATTTCTAGATTTGCGCCTATCATTTGCAGAACTTCTTATTCATTTGCTAACTTTCTGGGTTTTCTTTTCACTTCTTCTTCTCCTGAACTTTCCAATTCTCTCTACCTCCTGTATTGCCCACAGGAGGCTTCCCGTCTTTCAAGAGTTACACTTCTTCCCACATTCAGGGACTTTTCCCAATTTTGGAGCATCTTCCTTCCTCTGACCTTACTAGTTTCTTCTCCTACTTGATGTTGCCATCAGTGTCACCAGTTAAATCAACTCAACAAAACACTGAACATGACAGTTGATTTCCTGTCTCACTAGAAGCAGATTCAAAGTGGCCAGAAGAACAGTGATCTATTTCTAGAAATGCTACAAGGCTAATTCCATATTAGTAAACTACATGATCATCCATGCTATTTAGTTTGCTCTCTGACAAGGTGACTCCCATTTTGGCTTAGCTTGGGGCAACTAAATCTCTCCAGATTATGCCTGAGGGACGCGTTGGGAGTTAGCATGAGCCAAGGACCTTTGCAGCACGCAGTTCAAATGCACCTCTGCTGCCCTAAGATGGGAAGATAATGGGGGTTTGGCTCTGTGGATATGAACAAGGGTGGGAGAAGGAACCCATGCAGGAAGAACAGATATAATCCAAGAAGACCTGCAAGAAGTATTGCTCCCTAGACCTGTCCTTCTCAAAGGAGGATGGGTGGCTGTTTTTTATAAGACACAAATAAGAGCTTCTTTGCTTATGTAATCTTTTATAATACTGCCCCATTTCAAATGAAGGAACTAGAAGGAAAACTGTCCCTCATATATGAATTTATTTGAATGTCCGCTAAAATCATGCATCAATATCTTAACATGCAGCCTAAGAGGTACAATGCAACCTTCCACTGGCTTTGGGCCATGAGGTAGAATTCACTTACTAGGAGCCAAAGTATCTCACATATAGAGAAAATATAGATGGTCTAAGAACAGCAATAGCCAGCGAAATTGGAAAAAAAAAATAGTACTAAGTACCAGCTGGTCCAGCAGCCACATTTGAAATGATCAGTCTTTTACATTTATGCACATAACCAGTCAGTTTCTCTCGGATAGTTTATCTCCCTACTTCCTCAGCTCCATAAATACATGTGAGTAAAGTGCTGAACAAGGGAGGGAAGAAGAATTAATTTATGCCTTGAAACTTTTAGCTTCAACAGCTACCCCAGGAGCAGGAGCAAGATCAGTAGGGTGCAGGATGGTACACTCTTCCTGCTTTAGCCATGCTGCAGTTTTTGCCATTCTCACAATGGGCATTGATAAGGTTTCCTTCTGATTCCTATTTGATAGAAACATATCCATCCCAATTCTCCTCTGAGCTGCTGGCGCCCTTCATTCTTCCACAGAAAATTCCTTCCTTTTCCCACAGATTATACATTTGAAAAAGGACTAGCAAACTCAATGGAGTTATTATACAGATTATAAAAGCCGACATAATACAATGAATACATATGTGCACACACACATATATACTTAAAAAACTATATAACATTAAGATTACAGTTATAATTTCATAACAAGACAGTGTAAAATTTCCAGTAACCCAACTTGCACAGGTTGTGGCTATAATGTACTTTGTGTCAGCAGTAACTAATGATGTGAGAATGACAGCTCCATGACAAGTTGCAGGTGACACTATCATTCATTACATCTCCCTGGAACATTCCTGGAGCACTATTTATTCTGCATGTTGAATAAGGACAGGTTCTTTCATTAACAAAAATGTACTATTGTATAAACTACAAATTGTGTCATGATGCTTGAATACAATGAGAAGGGGGAAGGAAAATAAGATTGAAGCAGCAACTTTGATATTAGTATTTTCTCGCTTTCAAGTACTTAGCTCTGTAACCTTAAAGTGTTTTTGATGCTGTGTTTCTGCTGGGCATTAAAAAAAAACTAAAATTGAAAATAAAATTGGCAAACAATGCCAGTACTACAGATGAGTAACTTCTTAACCTCTTGTATTTCCAAAATGTGTGAGTATTTTGCAGTAGAAATACAAAACTTAGCTGCCTTGTAGAGACTCCTTAGAACTAGTCCAGGGATCTCAGGGCTCCAACTATCATAGGGTGAAAAACCTCTTGGCCTGTCTTGTGGTCACAATTTTTAGGCTCACAGCACAACTCTATGTTATGTGAGCAAATGGAAGAGTGAAACTGAGAACAACAGCAATATGCATACTCATCACCAGTGAAACATAGAAGTACACGCCTTACTGGAGAGTTTCAAAGCTATGTACTAGACAATTCACATTTATTGAGGCTTATAAATATGAGGTTCAAATATAAGTTCTTAGAGGAATGGCTTCTTAGTGATCTTGGTCCACTCTGCAGCTCGACTTTCTACACTTTTCCTTCTATTCAGTCTCTTTTGCTTCTCAACTCCGTTGTTCAATTTCCATCTCTTAATTTATTTCTATCCGGCTATCTC